TGTCATTTGTCGGAGATAGTGGAAAGCCGGCTTAAAGCCGACTTGAAACGCCAGTACGATGAGGATAGTTTTCATTTTAGAACATAAACGCACCAGTGTAAATGTAGCCTTACATCTAAGGGGGCTGGGACGCATTCACACTACAGCCTCACGTGTGCGTCACTCTCTGGGTGTGTTCGACTTGATGCGGACCGACTGTGCAGACCGACTATTACAGTACCACGAGAGCTACAGAGAGCAGACTGCTCCGTGCGCTTTCGAATCGCTCTCGCGGATGATCGATCTGCGCCGCGCCTCTAGTCGAACACACCGGCTAGTGCTGCAGGCTTATTGGCTCACTGACGCTGATGAGATTAACCCCTTAGGTATCGAAATTTGGTACCGAACGACGAGACGTTTTTCGATACTCGATGGTATCGAGGCAATTCGGTCGGTGCCTAAAAAATATCGCACTCGATACCCAGCCCTATTCTGCGTGAATGAATGGCACAGATGCACAGTTTCGTTTTTTTCTACACCCTGTTAAAGCGCACGTGATGCTCGCTATGTTTTCAGCCTCTGCTCAATATATGAGTGCATGAGCACATGAACATAATCTCTAGAACTGCTTGTCATATCATATACAAACAGAAACTTAAAGGTCTTCACATCAACCCATCAAAATAAAAGTTTGGTTTAACTTGAAGAAACTGTGACAGAAATATATTACTTAATGTAATGATAGTACTACTAATACTAATAAAATCATTATTAAAACATTATTTTTAAAGGAATATTTACCCGCAAAAAAAATATTTACCAGAAAAATGTAAATACATAAGTTTTTCTGAAAAAAAAAAAAAAAAAAAAAAAAAAAAATTAAAAGAACAAAAAGTTTCAAAATAAAAAAAAAAAAAAAAAAAAAAAAAAAAAATTATAATTATAATTAAAATTTTATGAAAATATTAAAATGGAATCTAGAAAGTAAGTGTAAGTTTCATAATTTCAATGAATTAGATATGCTTTTTGATATATATATTTTTTAAAGTAACCATTAAAAGAGAGTCTAGAAAAATGAAAACTGAATGTTTGAAAAAATGAATTTGGAAAAAAATATAACTGAATTTGGGAAAAAATAAAATTTTATAAGGCGCTAATATCGCTTTTAAGAGTGATGGTTGGGTTAGTCCTTATAGCACATCACTTGTTGTGTTAGTGTATGAGCTATGACAGACATTCATCCCTTGCTGAATTTTCAACACAGCAGTCTTAACAAAAGATCACAAGAGGGCATGACTAAAACACATCACAGACATGAGACCATATGTGAAAGTATAACTGCATGTAAACTGAACATTAACAAAATCTTTCAGCTTTGTCAAAGTCATTCAGTAAGGCAAGCATCACTACTATTGTTTTTTCAAACCCACTAAAACTAAGTATTAAACTTTGGCATGTAACTCAACCTGGACCATTTGTGTTGCAGACATAAATGAATGACAGGACTCAATAACATATTTAAAAAAAAATCTTCAAAAATTCTTGTTTAACTCTAAACATACTCTTCCATTTAATTAAACTCTTCCATGATATTCTCTTCAGGAATAACAGTCAGTTAAAACAATACATTTAACATTCCTCACACAAAGATGACCTTGTAATTGTAAATTGACCTTGTAAAAAGCCTGTGAGGTTTGACTGGGACACAATAAGACAGATCCTCAGAAGAAATAGGAGGGAACATTGATTCTGACTTTCCTCAAAGTTTAGAAAGTGAGGACATGTGCCGCACCCTTGACCAAAAACAAATAAAAGCTCAACAGAAAGACAGGGACCTCCATTAAGCCGCAAGCAAGCACGAAGTGGTACCAAATGCCTGTCAATCAAACCAACCTAACTGTACCAGAAACCATCTATTGGCTATCTAAGAAACTGAGAGACAAAAAGCTAAGGGGAATTAAAAATGCATGAAGATGACCAATGTAGAAGAGAATGAGTGAGTGGAAGGATAAATGTGCAGTTTACTCCCTGGGAGAAAGCTTTGGGACTCTAAATATGTCGGAAGAAGGTCTTATAAAAGCGTAGAGGTGTACAGGAAACAGGAGGAGGCAGGGCGGGATATGCTCTGAGGGCCACAGACACACACTGTGCCCACGCTGTCTGCCTGCGTTGCGCCGCCCAACAAGACAGAGAAAGCCCTCAAGGGAATCAAACACCACAAACGCGTGTAAACAAAGCAACTAGGCAGTTACGTTATTCCATATGCAGTCATCCGTGCCAAAATCCATGTCATTCAAACCCAAGGCGGTGGTATCTTGCTGTGAAACAAACCCCCTCTACCTCCTGTGATCGTGAATGTATGCCTGAGCACAAGAAGATGCTGCTGAACCGCCGAGCGTAATTAGTCTCCTTAGAGAGTGCAAGAAACGACATAAGCTGTAATTAAAATATGCAACGGGAAATACGTGACAAGTGCGATAACGCGCCATCAGCGCAACTGAATAATCAGCCGTCACAGCAATGGCGCCAAGAACGTGCAATTAACACAGAATGGAGACAAAAGGTTTAATGGAAACATGTTTACAAGAGAAAGATATGATGCAAAAAGAGCAATGGATCCCTGGCTGTAGAGCGAGCCAAAGTCTTTGATCATTTGCTACGTGTCGCCAGCAGCGTACGCCTGTCTACAAGTCGCCCATGAGAACAGATGGAACTGGGAAAAGCGAGGAGATGTTACGACAGACTAAACTGCCAAAAAGAACTAGTTCAGGACATGCTTCAACTTCTTGGTTGTCTAGGGGAACATTTTCAACAAGACGTGTTGAAATTGCAGCGATTGTTTTGTAAGAGTCCACAAGAAAAACAGATGCTCTGAGAACTAAATTTCTCCGTGAGATAAAGCTCTCCATCATCGGACACATTTAAATTCCCTGCCTTGACTTCGAATCACTCACTTTCTTGGCAGAATTTCACGATTTCTTCCCCCTCAGGTAATACCTTTTTATTTTCTCCAAGCCATTCGTCAAATTAGATCTTCATCCTTCCAAACAAAAGGATAACACGAGAGCCATTGTGGTTCAATTACATCTGAATCATTTGGAAGGAGGTGCCAATTTACTGGATATTTTGGTGAGCCAGAGAAAACAAACACCATCGCCTGAAGACTCGACACCCAGAAGCCCAGACATGACAACAAAATCTGTGCCAGGCCCGGCAGGCAGGGGCTTCCGAGATCGGCTTTCACGTGAAGTATAAATAAAAAACGAACACTTGGAGCTCTGGTGGTGAATCGTAACTGAATATCAGTAACAGTGGAAGCTCTTGGATTGCATGATGAGTGCGTGAATTCTTGAGCCACTGCCTGATTTGGCTTGACAGCCCCCCCGAGGAAGTCTGACTCCCTAGAATGATTCTAATTGGTGTTAGTGAGACAAATAATTTGAAAGCTAATCTCTGGCATGGGCTGATCCTTCTCGCCTGTAAAGAAAGTAGAGAGGGACAGAACCTTTTTACATGCAAGAGTGCGTTCTTACTCTTGACAACTCTCAGGGGACCGGCAGTATCACGCGATCCCGAAACTGGCCACTTTTCTTCATCTAGAGTCCAATCAGCGTGCCGGGGATACTGTGACCACATCAGTCAAAGAATGTTTGCTTATCGCTCTATCCCTGCCGTGACTGGCACGTTGTTACGTTTTGGCCGACCGCAGCTCTAATGAGAAGTGAAATCCAAAATAAGTCCTGTGTAATCTAGAGCCCAGTTCCCTCAGACTGGGAGCAAGATTTAGCTCTGTGGCCATTAGAGGATCTTAAATGCTGTGGTGTCGATAGCAGGCTGCGACCTCAATGTTTTCGGACAAGTACAGCTTTGCTACATCCAAAACAAAGGCTTATAATTCGAGCCAAAAGCAAAGCAAACCATGCAAAGAATCTGGTCTCTGGAATCAAAAAGCAACAAGTGACCTACTACGGAGTGACCGTATTCCATGGATTGCCTTTCTGTCTTAACGAATCGGACGGATACTTAGTCTCGACACGTGATTAGCTTAGCGCACAGAGGAAATTCTTTCTGCCAAAGTGCATGAACGTCAGCAGCCGTTCATATAACGCAAGTAGATCCAGGGTCTATACATTTTAACGAAACAAACATAGCTCCCTTGAATAGTGCCAAAAATGGTTCCAGATATTCTTCTCAAAAGTTTGAGACAATGCACAATTGTTTTCTATTTGTGCCAACAAGTGAAAAAAGGGGGGAAAAAGTAACAGCTCAGGGATGTTCAAGGAGCAACATGTTTGTGCACTTTCTAAAGGTTTTAGTTCTGTTTTTGAATAAAGGGTTGGAAATGAATGCTTTTCTTGCTTTTTTGTTTTTTATCCGATTCATCGATTAATCGAAAAAATAATCGACAGATTAATCGATTATTAAAATAATCGTTAGTTGCAGCCCTAAAAAAGAGCACAGG